TGGTCATGTTAATGATGGTAATCATGTTAATGTCGTTGATGATGATGATTATGATGATGACGGTGTTGACGATGACAATGACGATGTTGATATTGATGACGATGTATATGATGATGGTGCTGCTAATGATGATGATGATTGCGGTGCTAATGATGGTGATGGTGTTGATGGGATGGGGATGATAGAGATAAGGATGATGATGCTGAGTATGATGATAATGATGATGATGATGATGATGCTGATGCTGATGATGATGATGATGATGATGATGATGATGATGATGATGATGATGATGATGTTGATCACGGTGGGCAGTGTGAGGATGTCAATGTTCATGACGCTGATGCTTATGGTGGTCAAGATTCCAGTGGTGGGGTCATGGTCATGCTGGTGTTTGTGGTGATGATGATGCTGATGACGCTAATGATGCTGGTGATGATGATGGTAATGCTGATGATGGTGATGGTGAGGATGATGATGGTGATGCTGATGATGATGACGATCGTATTCGTGTTGATGCTGGTGGTGATGATGATGATGACGATGACGATGCTGATAGTGATAACGATGTACACGAGATGAATACGATTATAACGATGATAAAGATGGTGATGGTGATGAGTATGATGATGATTCTGATGATGAGTGCAAGAACTGTGCCGCCCTCACCGGCAGGCCTGGAGATGCGGCTGCGGCCGCCACATCATCCAAGGCGAAGGGCAAGGCGCCGCCCGACTCTGGCCCTGTCTGCCCTCTTTGCCACTGGCCCGCAAGCCGGAGCGTTGTGCCCATGCGCGACCGAACGCTGTGAGAGCCACGAATCATCAGGGCCGGGGGTGCTCAGGGGCAGCTCCCGATTCGTGCCCCGGGGGCCCGAGCCAGAGTTGCTCCGAACCGGAGTTATCCCGGATAAGCCGGGCGTCCGAGGTATCCGAATCATCGGTGCCGGGGGGAGTCGGGGGTAGCTCATGGTTCGGGCGTCGGGGGCCCAAGTGAGAGTTACCCGTGACTGGAGTTTTATCCAGGGTGCTCTGGGCGTCCAACGGTTGTCGTTTCCCAGGCTATCCCTGCTGCGTTTTTTTGTTCAGTGGCCCCGGAGGCCCTCACTCCCCCTCGCTGCCCCTTCTCCCTCGCGCCCGTCCACCCCTCATGCCCCCCACTCCTCATCCCCCTCCCTCCTCACTCCCGTCCACCCCCCCTCGCTTCCCCTCCTCCCCTCGCTGCCCCTCCAGAACGCGACGAGGCCCGCCCCCGCACCCCCGCTCAGTGTGCTGCGCGTGTGGGCCGCCTTGTGTTACAGTCGAGTCGCATGTAAGGGTGAGCCACTTTCCAAGGCTACCCAAATCAAGGACACAACTGTACGATATCAAAATCTTCTATTTTTGGGTGCACCTTGCCCAGTTGAGCGTGCTTCAGTCGAGGGCTCTCCCTCTCGACACTCTGAGCCAAGGTCGCATACGGAAGGAGACACATCGCGTTGCATGAGCCACTTTCCAAGGCTACCCCTGCGTCCTTGCCCCTTGGGCCCATCCTTGGCGACTTTCGCTGGCCAGCCCCGTTCGAAAACGCCCGCTGCAGCCTTACCGAGCATCATTATTATGGGACTTGACTTTGCTCGTGCTACCCCTCCCCCACTCCACTGGGCTCCCTCCCCTTTGCCGGCACGCCCACAGGCTTCGTGATTGACACGCGCCCAACGTGCCTAATTTTCGTAAGCCCGAGGCGGCTATCAACAGGAGCGTTCCATACAAAAGAGCATTCTAAGAGATCGGCAGGACCCGTTGAACGTTTCGCCACACAACATCGGACCCCCATTCGCGCAACCACTCTCGCAACTCAGACTGCGAAAAGGACGACAATGAAGAGCGCACCCCAAGTAGCCGCCTGGCCTCGTCTAGATCCGCGTACACCTCCGCTCCGCTGGGCCTCCCAGGATCCCACACATGGGGCGACAGTTTCGCAGGTGGCAGCTCCCATGAGCCCGCGACGGCGGCGACAGTTGCGCAGGTAGCAGGACCCCCGGGGAGCCGCCAGGTTCAGTGTGGATTCGCGTGTGACGGACACCAATGCGCTGGGCCTCCCAGGAGCAAGGCAAGGGGAGGAGGATGACGGCAGGTCCGGGAAATTGGTGTCGCATCCCAAACGAGAATGCAACGCGGATTGGCAACACGAAGCAGAAGGCAGGAGGAGGGAGAGGTCGGGCGGGGCCATGACGAGGACAAATCCGTCCCAGAGCTTCCCGGGACGCTCTCAGAGCGCTCCGGAACGCTCTGAGAAGGCCGCGGCGCCCGAGACATCCTCCAGCGCCGCCGGCTTCCCGAGATTCTCGATCTACAGTCGGCCCTGATAAGTAGGTCGACCCTCCCAAATCAAGAGCACCCTCGTGTCCTGTATCTCGCAACCCATGCCTCCTACGTTCCTGTGGCAATGTGGCCCTTGGAAAGGTCGTGTGTCCTCTGGCGCGTCCTGTCCAATCAAGTCCGACTCTATCCTCACCCGATGACATCCTCGCCTTGGCTCCGCCTGGTCTAGACGAGGAGCCAACCAGAGGAGGGTTGGGGACAATGCTGGGGACCGCCACCGTTTCCACGACGGCACCCCTCGCCCGCACGAGGAGGCGGCCGCGGGCCCCCCGCCCGCGGGCGTGGCGCGCCTCCCTGCCGCGCGGCACGCGCGCGCGCCTCGAGGCCGCCGCGGCCCCGAAGGCCAAGGCGGCCCCCCCGCGCGGCGGCGCCGCGGCGCCGTCGCGTGCCTCGCGCGCGCGCGCGCCGCGCGCCGCGTGCGCGCGCCATCGCGGGGCGGCGGCCGTCGTCGTCGTGAGCAGGGGTCGTCCTGACGATGGCGTCGTCATCGCGCGCGCGCGTGGCCCCTCGGTGGCGACGCGCGCGCGTGCGCCGCACTGTCGCCGCCCTCGCGTCATTAGGGGGGGTCGTCCTCGTGCCCGTCCCGCGTGCCCCTCCTCGGGGCGGGGGGGAGGGGTTCGAACCGGTAGTGACCCCCCCGGTTTTCTTGAGGGGGGGGGGGGCGAACTTTTTCTGGGGGGGGGAGGGGTTCGAACCGGTAGTGACCCCCCCCCGGGTTTCCGGAGGGTGGGGGGGGGGTTCGAACCGGTATAGTGACCCCGCCCGGTTTTCCGGAGGGGGGGGGGTTCGGGGAGGGGGGTCCCCTTCCACCCTCCACCTCCTTCTCCTTTCGGTATCGCAGGCAAGTCGCTGAAGGAAAGGCGCAATGTGGGTTCGGAGGGGGCTGGATGCTCCTCAGGTCCGTCCATGGCTGTTCCTCTGTCCCTCCTCGTGAACTAAGGCGGCTTTGGGGCCCAAGAGGGGCTTCGTTCCGTTCTTTGCGTTGCTTACTTCAGGGACCTGGCCGTAGGCAAACATGAGCGAAGAAGCTGTTGCGTTCCTGCGATGCAGGAGAATGTGAAATGTACCGACTAGGACCTTCAGATAGACGTCAGGCCTTGGCAGTGCAGCAGCTCGCGCCTGCACGCGTCCAGAAAAAAAGCAACCCAGTGGGGAGTAGCAGATATTCAAGAGAAGGTTGCAGCGCCTGTGTGTGGCAGGGGTGACCCCCCCTCAATGCATGCTTATCCCGAACCTTCCCCCCAAACGAGCATGTGCGGCCCTCGATGTGTGATGACCTATTGGAACGGAAACCAGGCGAAAAGGGCCAGTGTGGAAAAGTGACGACGTTCGAGTGTCAGTTTGTCATTCGGGTGTCAGTTTGTCTTTCGATGTTGGCAAGTTTACTTGCATGGAGGGGGAGGGAGGGAGGGGGTCATGGCGAGACTCGCAAGGACATAATGTGTAATTCGCGCAAGTCGGGACGCACTTGCACGCCTTTTCGGCGCAGCGCTGCTTGAAAAAGCGGAGGGGGGAGGAGGAGCTGCCATGCAAGTGAGCTCGCCGGCATCCCCAGGAAACAACTGCGTTCCATCTTCCTGCGGCATTCTTCGAGCCTGGTCGATGTGTCCGCAACCAGGTGAGCAAGAGGCCCTGCTGGGGGGAAACACATTTCAAAACCTGCCGGGCCTCGGACCCCCTCGCTGCAGCCGTTCCGGCTCGGGGGAGTGCACTCGAATTCGCCGCCGGCGGCCCGGCGGAGCGCGCGCCGGCCCATGCCGGCGCCCTCCCACGGCAGGCTGGCGGCCCAGGCGGCGGTCGTGGAGGCCCGCGCCCGGGCGGGCGCGGCGCGGCGCGGCGTACAGCGCGCGTGCGCGGCCGTGCCTGGCGTGTCCCCACGGGGAGCATCGCCAGCGTTGCTCCGCAGGGAGGTCAGGAGTGGGTGCGCCGAGGTGGGTCGCATGCCTGGCTGAGCCTCGCCTGTACATGGACTGCAGGAGGCCCTGAGTGCTGCAGGGTGGCCAGGTACCTCCGCGACGTGGGCTCCGCCCGCTCAGGCCATACCTGGGCCCCTCCTCGTCAGTTTGGGCACATGGAGCCCGCTGATAAGCTTGGTTCGGCCAGATATCACCCACCCTAGCATCCACTTCTAATTCCCTATCTCTTTACCAACCCCAGCGATGATCTCAGCAGGCCCAAACGTTCTAGGCCTCCCAAATGGGGTCCGAGTGGATGGGATCGAAGGATAGCGCCACATCGCCGATGCATCGCCGATGCGGCCCGATGTGGAGCCTGATTAGCTCCGCTGGTTCGGAGGGTCGTCGTGTCGTTCCTGCGTCGCTGCCCCCTTAATTACCCTGAGGTCCGACGTCGCGAGAAGGTGCAACATCGCGAAACATCACAGCCGAAGCCCAAAAGACCAAATCTTTCTGAGACATGTTTTTCGGGTCGGATCGAGCCCGAACCCGGGCGGGGCTAGGACGAGGATGAATCCATTCCAGGGCGCTCCGCAGCGCTCTCAGAGCGTTCCGGCTCTCAGAGCGTTCCGGAACGCTCTGAGGAGGCCGCGGTGCCCGACGCATCCTCCACCGCCGCTGGATCTCAGAGATTCTCGATTTGTCTTCGCCCGATGTTCTCGTCCTGGCTTCGTCCCATGAGCCCGGGCGGAGGCGCCCAGTGGGACAAGTATGCGACGCCTGGATGCCAGGGCCTGCCAGGGTTGCCTGCGGCCTGGCTGGGTGCGGCCTCGCTGCCTCCTCGGCCCGCCTTCGGCAGTGCTGCAGCGCGGCGGACAGGCTCGGCATCCAGGGCGCGGAGTTCCAGGGCCCACGACGTTGCATCATCAGGGGGCCTCGCCTGTCCCCAAGAATTTCGTCTTTTCTTGTGCCCGACGCGGGCTCGATGCGGACTCGACGCGTGGATTCGACGCCTATTCGACACGGATCCGACGAGTCCGACATGGATTCGACACCGGTTCGACGCAGATAGGGCCAAGAGGGGACAACCACGGTCCCCCGAGGATGCAAAATAAGGCTCAAGGGGCATCGTGAGGGGGTGATCATTCGTGTCAGGGGGGAGCGCATGGACCCCCACTCGACCAATCATCGCCCATTCGGAGCCAGATATATCCCCTCCCCGCCGAGGCTCGTGCGGTTTATGAGCTCGGGGGCCAGTCGCCAGTCCATCGTCGAGGTGCCGCCGATCTCCCAGGCAGGTGTCCCCCCTCCCGAGCCGGTCCCCCCTGGCTCAGGTATGCCCCCGCATGCTTTCTGCTCCACCCGGGACCTGCAGGAGTCCTGGCCCCCTGCCACGGGGTAGCGCCGCTCGTCGTGGGCCCACTTGTTGGTGGTCCACTGATCGAGGAGAGGCGCCAGGCCTTTGGGAGGCCATGCGGTAGAGGGCAACGATGCGTGGCCCCGCCCCCTTTTCTCCCCACAGGTCTAGAGCTGGCACGCGCGGTGGCAGACTGCGGTCGAAGTGCAGCTCATTCAGCCCACCGCCAACTCTGATCGTTCGGGGGGGCGGCATCGATGCGTGGACGAGTGTTCGCCAAGTCCTTCCGAGGCCTGCAGCCTTGGAGGTCTGGGGTCGTTGCCCCTCTGGGACACGAAGCTCAGGGGCAACGATAGGGGGGGGGGGGGTAGGCGTGGGGGGATGCGTCGACCCCCAACCGCCCACTGATCGACGACAGGGGCCCCACCTGCCCAGGCAGGTGCGGAGTTGCGATCGGGAGCCCATCGCCGATCTGCCCGCGATGCATGAGGAGGAGGAGGAGGAGGAAAGGAGGAGGAGGAGGAGGAGGACGGAGGAGGAGGAGGAGGAGGAGGAGGAGGAGGAGGAGGAGGAGGAGGAGGGGAGGAGGAGAGGAGGAGGAGGAGGAGGAGGAGAGGAGGAGGAGGAGGAGGAGGAGGAGGAGGAGGAGGAGGGGTCGCTGGCCCCCCCCCCCTCCGCCAGTCCCCCGCCCACCGGTCGTTGCCCGCCAGGGGCGCGGAGCGTCGGGGGCCCCGGAGGCCGCCGCGCCGGGCGAGGGGGCCGAAGCGCCCAGGGCCTGCGCGCTCCAGCCTCGGCGAGGGGGGGGGGGGTCCGCGAGGGTCCGAGGAAAAGGCCACGGGGAAGTCGCCCGGGGGTCGGGGGGGGGGGGTTCTGGGGGGCCCACGAGGCACTCGAGAGGAGGCCCACAAGAAGACCCAAGAGGCCCCAACAGTGCCCCCTTAAGTCTGAGGCCTCGGAGCCGCCTCCAGGAGGCCCCCGGGAGGCCTCGACGAGATCCCAACGACCAGCCAAGGGTCCTCAGACCCACAACCCAGGCACGGTGGCGGAACGGGCCCGCGCGAAACGAGAACAGATCGGGGCGCTGGAAAAACATGTACTCGGGAACGTTGTTCATTGTGACGGCCTAACGGACGGAAAGAAGGGGAGGGAATTGACTGAACTACGGCGTTTCTGTTCTCTGTTCGTTCCTCATTTTCCTTGGGACTGGCGACGGCGACGACGACGACGACGAAGAAGAGAAAGACGACGACAGCGTTTTACACATGCCGAAGTGTCGGCGGATTCCGACAGGTTTACTTGCACGGCGTTCCCCCCTCCATCCCCCTCCCTCCGCCACGTTGTCAAATCAAACAGCGCGGGGCCGCAAGGGTGTGCAGGTGAGCCCCAGCTTGCGTCAAGTGCAGAGTTCCTTTCGGGCTTCGCCCTCCCCCCACCCGTCCCCCTCCGTGCAAGCAAACTACCGGAATCTGAGTAGGGGGCCACATGCGAACCCTACCCCTACCCCCCACGATTTCTGAGGGGGAGGGTGGGGTTCACTTCGCTCGCGAGCTCCCGAGCGAAGTGAACTCCCCCCCCCCCCTCAGAAATCGTGGGGGGTAGGGGTAGGGTTCGCATGTGACCCCCTACTGAGGACGAACCGATACCAGAGATCTCAGAACGCTGCCCCTCTCGGGCGGGTGCTCGTGGAGGGCGGCCCACATGGGGGGGGGGAAGCAAAGAGGGCCCTAAATGGGGCACTGCGGGGCCCCTCTGGGAGCCCGCAGGGGCCCCCGGAGGGGCCCCGAAGAGCTCCAATGTAGGGCTCTTCCTCGGGAGGGAGAAAAAGCACACAGACACAATGAATCGTCGATTCCCCAGAAAATATGGGAAAATATGGGACGTGGGGGGGAGGACAAAAGCCCTAAAGATATGTGAAAATATGGGGAATCTTTTTATTTGTGTGTATCTATTTGTGTGTCCCAGGGCCCCTTCATTTCCTCTCCACCCCCCCATGGGGGGGCCACCCTGCGCACCCGCCCGACAGCTCAAGAGAGGGCCGAGGCTCCCCAGGAGCGCAGGACCGCGTGCGGTGCGCCAGCGCGCCTCGCCAGGGCCGGGGTTTTCGCGGGCACGCTTCGCCGGGGCCCTCGGCGCCCCCCCCCTCGACGCCCCCCCCCCCTACCGCTGCGCTGCACGCGCCCGCCCGGGGGCATTGCTTCGCCTCCCGCAGGCGGGGGCACTGCGGCCACGCGGGTCGAAGCACAGGGAGCTGCAGAGACAGTGGACGCGCCCAGGGGCAGCCCCAGGGGCAGTCGACGCGCCCAGGAAGGGTGGGCAGCCTTCCCAAGGGCACCCTTGCATCCTCGCCTCCTCGGTCCACCCTGCGCCACCTTCTCGTCGGCCGCGCCCCGCCCGAACAGCTTCGAGATGGACGTCCAAGGCCCTTGCACCCTCATCGCGCATCCTTCCTATACGTGTACGGGTTGCCTGCCACCGCGCCTCCAAGGAGCTCCGCGCGGAGTGTTCGGGCCTCGCCTGCCCCGTCGCCCGTCCTCTGAGAGGGCCCTCCTCTGGATATGCTGCCCGTCGCCGCGGCCGGACGCGGTGCTCGAGACGGGCCAACACGCTGGGGGCGTTCGTTTCGGAGTGTGCCCAGGGGGCTTCGCACCCTGGAGGGTTCCTTGTCTGATGAGGGCGGCGGTGACGTCCATGGCCAATCCACGATCGAAGTTCCACTGGCTTCGAGACCCTGGATTCCTTATCCAACGCTTCCTTATCCAATGCCCCCACCGTTCTGGCTCAAGCCAGGTTCTGGTGTCAATGGCTCCGGGGGGCCGCGCGGCGCGGCCCATGCGGGAGGCGGAGGCCGAGTCGCGAGGGGCGTCCGCTGCTCGGCGCGCCGCTCGGCGTCGCGGGCAGATCGCCTGCGAGCGCGGCCTCTGGAGAGCTCTCCACGGCAAACCCTGCGGCCCGCTGAGGGAAGGCGCCCTGGCCGACCTCGAGGCGGAGGTGGCCAGGCGCGAGCGCCTCTCCCGCCCGGCGCTGGTGGCCGGCATCTTGGGCGAGCAGGCCGCCGACGAGGCACGCCTCGCGCGGAATGGCGCCCAGCACGCGCGGACGCTGCCAGGAGCTGGAGCGGGCTGGGCGGAGCGGCGAGCTGCGCAGCATGGCCCGCGGCTCGGGCCAGGAGGGCCTGCGCCCGCGCGGCTTGCGCCTCGCGCGCCTTCTGGGGAGCGAGCGCCGACTCTGCAGCCCTGGTTCTCGAGCAGGTGCAGCCCCACGCCCCTGGGACCTGGCCCGAGCGCGACCAGGTGTCGGAGGACCGCGCCCTTGCGTTCGGGCAGGGCCTGGAGGCTGGCCGGAAGCTGGCCGAGCTCCAGGCGCGCGTGCAGGGATTGGCGGAACAGCAGGACGGAGCCAAGGTACAGACCGCCGCGGGGCCGGAGCTCGAGGAGTCGTTCTCGGAGTCTGAGGGCGTGACCGCGGAGCTGCTGGCGCCCGTGCCGACGACGCCCGCGGTTCGGCGCGGCGGGTCGGAGGCTGGGGGCGTCGCCGACGGCGCGCCGCCGAACCCTGCTTCCACACGCGGCCCCATCGCCGACGCCGATGACGCGGAGGAGCCGCTTGTCGGGTTTGGCGTGGCGACGAGCGACGACACGATGACCACGGCGTACTCGGACGAGTTCGCCTACCCGTCGGAGTTCGGCTTGAAATCCAGGAGGACGACGCTGACCGCTACAGCGTCGAGCACTGGCCCTGCGGCGAAGGCCACGGGCACAAGGTGGCCGAGACCGCCTGCGCATCGGATGGGCTGCAGGAGTCTCTGGATCAGGCGGTGTTCGCCGAGCAGGGGCCGCAGGAGGCCGAGCGGATTGCCCAGGCCGTCTTGAATGGGCAGTTGGGGTTCATTCGGAAGCGTGCGGCCGACTACCACGCGGAGCTCGTGCGCGGGGTCTCAGCGCTTCGCCTCAGCTCGCAGGACCTCGAGGCGATCGAGGCGCTCACGCTGGAAGGTGAGGCGGAAATCATTGCGCAGATGGAGCAAGCTGATGAAGTGGAGGATTCGCTGTTGGACCATATGAGCCCCGACGAGGGCGAGGCAGTCGTGCTCCTCGGCGCGTTGGGCGTGCCCGACGGCGCTGGCCGAGGCGCGCAGGAGCACGACGAGGAGCCTGAGTCAGCGAAGCAGGAGCTGATGCGCGCCAGGGAGCCTCGGCGCCTGCGGTGGATCCGCCGACGGGTGGCAGCGATGTGGCTGGCTCGCCTGGCAGGGTGGCCCTACCCCCCTGAGGCCTGGTGCGCCCGAAACCAGCTCACCAGCCCCGATGCCGAGTCCACCGTGCGCGGCGAGCACGAGGGCGAGGCCACGTCGGAGCCATCGCGCGGGCGGCTGGCGCGCGCGGCGACTGTGAGAACGCAGGCGGTGGACCCCAGGCCGAAGGCCATCGGTGGGCGCGGAGGTAATCGCCGCCTTGGGGGCTGGGTCCCCGCATGTGGTAAGGGTGGAGGAACAGGAGACGGGGGAGGGCGGAGGAGATGGGGAAGGGGGGGAGAAGGAGGAGGGAGGCGGAAAAGGAGAAGGAGGACGAGGAGGAGGAGGAGGAGGAGAAAGAAAAGGAGGGGAGGAGGAGGAGGAGGAGGAGGAGAAGGAGGAGGAGGAGGAGAAGCAGGAGGAGGAGGAGAAGGAAGAGGAGGAGCAGCGCTTCGGCGCACCGACCCCCTATGGCGCCAGAAGTAGTGGGACAAATAGCGGGAGGAGGAGGAGAGGAGGAGGAAGAGGAAGAGGAGGAAAAGCAGTAGTAGTAGTAGTCGTCGTCGTCGTCGTACTACTAGTAGTAGTAGCAGTAGTAGTAGTAGTAGTAGTAGTAGTAGTAGTAGTGGTGGTGGTGGTGGTGGTGGTGGTGGTGGTGGTGGTGTGGTGTGGTGGTGGTGGTGGTGGTGGTAGTAGTTATAAAGGTATAGTAGTAGTGTGGTAGTGGTAGTAGTAGTAGTAGTAGTATGTAGTAGTAGTAGTAGTGGTAGTAGTAGTAGTAGTAAAGTACTACTACTACTACTACTACTACTACAGTACTACCACTACCACTACTACTACTACTACTACGCAAAACTACTACTACTACTACTACTACTACTACTACTACTACTACTAATTTAGTCGTAGTAGTAGTGAGTAGTAGTAGTAAGTATAGTAAGTAGTAAGTAGTAGTAGCAGTAGTAGTAAAGTAGTAGTAGTAGGTAGTGGTTATAGAAGTAGTACTAGTACAGTGGTGGTAGTAATAGTATAAGTAGTAGTATAAAGTCGTCGTAGTATTAGTAGTATTAGTAGTAGTAGTAGTAGTAGTAAGTCGTAGTAGTAGTAGTAGTGTAGTAAGTAGAAGTGGTAAAAAGATAAGTATAGTAGTATAGTAGTTTAGTAGTTTAGTAGTAGTAGTAGTAGTAGTAGTAGTAGTAGTAGTAGTAGTAGTAGTAGTGGTAGTAGTAGTAGTGTAGTAGTAGTAGTAGTAGTAGTAGTAGTAGTAGTAGTAGTAGTAGTAGTAGTAGTAGTAGTAGTAGTAGTAGTAGTAGTAGTAGTAGTCGTAATACTACTAGTAGTATAGTCTCCGTCGTAGCCGTCGTAGCCGTCGTAGCCGTAGTAGTAGTAGTAGTAGTAGCAGCAGTAGTAGTAGTAGTAGTAGTAGTAGTAGTAGTAGTAGTAGTAGTAGTAGTAGTAGTAGTAGTAGTAGTAGTAGTCG